CCAGTGAAAAAGGGCGAACATTGTATTTTAAGTTTTCCATCATATAGCCTAAATGATTTTTTTCCGCTCTTTTTTACCAAAAGATGCGCTGTGAAATTCTCTACAAGAATATACAACATCGTTTAATCTCAAATTTGTTTTATTTATTGGTACGTGGAGCCATTTTGAAGAACTTGAAAAGTTCCTTTTTGAAGCTATATTCAAAAATGAATAGCGTATTACATCCAAGCCACAAAAACATGAATACTTTCTTTTTTTTTTTGAATGAAGTTATTAGCAAAATAAGCTAAATATTAGAGAAAGAGCACGTTTAATTCTACGAAAAACTTGCCTTGGTCAATGTTTGAGTTGTACAACTAAAGAAATCAGCCTGAATTTTTCGGAATTTTTGTTTTTAGAAAGTTGGATATACTGGAGCTTCGCAATATTATTTGTGTCCAATTTTTCATGTTTCAGTTTAAGATTAAATATCCTTATATATTTTAGTATAGAATTTTACGGCGCACCTTTTGATTAAAAAAAAAACTAGAAAAAATCTTTTAGAGTTTTGTGGAGAAAAGCTAAAAATAAAAAGTCTTCCATTGTCCCTGGATCATCTGACATATGCTATGAAAACCTAGGATTACATTATACAATTCGTACATCTCTGTATCTTTCATCAGCATCTCGTCAATAGTTAACTCTTTAACGACGTAATATCTATAAATAAATGTCACAAATTGCGTAGTTATGCTGTCTACTGGAGCTACTATTCTTGATATAGATGAAATCAGCAAAACAAAGTAATCAAACAATACTTGTAACATAGATGTTGCTCTATATTTAAATATAAAAATAGTTACAGGAGATATAATTCAAGAATTTTTATTTGTTTATACTGAGTAGAAATTCTAGATATCAAAATAAACGTTGAAGAGAAAAAAATATTGAACTTTAGTCAATATTTAGAGAAAATTGTTTTCAATCGATTCTTATTAAATTGAAATAATACAAGTAACAGAAGAATAGTTTCTTTTATCTAAGTTTGTTTCTTATAAATCTTTGCTGAAAAAAATACAATTAACTTCTTCGAAATAGATCGGTTCCATCTACTTTTTGAGTAATATAGTATTACTAGTGGAATAGAGAGTTTCTAACATACACTAAAAGTCATAATGATGAAATGTATAGGGGTCAGATGTTAGTAAATGTATATCATAGAGATTCAACAGAAATAGAGAACATTTTTCTTCGATAGTATACGAAAGTTAGTATAGAATCCACGAAAATTTTTCGTAGTAAACGTAAACTATTTAAATGCAGACATTTTAACTGATTATTAACTACTACAAAAGTCTTGTACATCTCTCAAAATATTATGACGATAATTCTATTTTTCTTTTAGAATATCAAGTTTTCAGATTTATACTTAATGATTTTTCTTTATACTATGTAGCTCATTTTCAAATTGTATGTATGCTTTACTCAAGATTTGATCGAATCTTATGTAAAATAGGTGTTCCAAGAATGCATGAAATACTATAAGCTCTGCATAGAATATATTATTTACATGCTAAATATCTCTTAATATAAGTTCATCTTGTCTATTCTAAGCTTGAGCAGAAGTGTTCTTTACATAGACATTAACGCTTGTGCTAGATTGATCTAGCATTGATGTCGTTGTTATTGCACATAACAAAACATGCCTTAAATAATATATGTTAGCATTTATTTTTAGGAGTTCAGTGGAGGGTAACACAGCAACACTTGGTTCAATACTTAGTCGTTTACCACGGGGTAGCTTGCCAGCAGATCAATTAACAGGATCTTATTCAATAAAAATCAACAATGGTCTATGGCGCTCTTATGTATCTCTTCGTTCGACAACAGTATATTTTGATGTTTCATTATGGTGTTCGGGTAAAACAGATGAAGCGGCTGCCTACTGCCACGAAATGATCGCAGCTCAAGCGTCCGTAACTATCGCTTGTATTATATCAGGAGTGTCGGCTATATGTCTTTTTGCATGTGCACTAAAAAGTATCAATCAGAATCAGATAGTGATTACGACAAGCAAGGTCCTTGTATTTGTTTCCTTCGCGGCGGGTATTATTGGTCTTGTGATAGGTATTTCTTATGCCACTGGAACCGGGGGATTACGGATAAAAAAGTCGGTGAGTGTGGCAGCGATATTATCAATAGTGGCCGTGGTCATAAATCTGCTCGGTGCTTTGTTGTCATTAATGATTCATTAAATACTCAAAATATTATTTTGTGAATATCTGCAGCTGAATCTATCGCACTTTTTTTAACTTTTGCTTTGTGCCTGATTTTAATTTTCCTGCCTCTTCTTAATTAACTTATTATATGAATAAAAGCTTTCATTGTAATCTCTATAGAATTAAAATGTGAAACACTATGGAACTACTTAAAGCATGATGGAGAAACTCCATCACATTAATCATAGTTCGTGCCGATATCAACAACCAACATGTTGAAGAATTCTAAAAAGCATCACACATCGTGACAGACGTCATACCGATATGCTATTTTTGTACGTTTAGATGACGGAATTTGTATTTTAAGATAACTATTTAAGTAAATAATTATTTCTTTGAATATTTATTTATTTCAACATTTATATAAAGATATAAATTCTGTGACCCGACAATTCAAAATAGTATGCCGACATTATACGTGGGTGTGGGGTGTCGATGTGGATGAATAGAGTAGTTGCATCCACACCCACACCCATGTCATGATTATCTCTGATTTAACTCGGACATGTATACACATTTTCTTTAATTACTGAAACAAAATCCTATCCAGGGATTTTTCGTAACATATACCTGTTAATAGACTTGGAAATAATGAGGCGACACTGGTTTGTTCTATCAAGAGTTTAGAGATTAAGTAAACTTTTTACATCCATAAGCGTATATACTGTAGCTGTTTAATACATTTTTCTTTAGAATTAGATTTTTCGATCATGTTGTTCTTCTTCTGATGTCATCCATAGGAGAGAAAAAAGGTCATTTGTTAGCACAAAACTACAGAAAAATGCTAGTAAATTAAGAAATCAAAATCGCAAATCAATGTTCAACATTGACAAATATCCTCATCAAAAATCTGCACTTGAAGATTTGATTTAGTGTCATCATTCAAAGTCTTCTTTTTATGTTCCAATAGATCCAAATTTCGGAAATTACGGACGAAATCCATGCCAGTAGCAATCGCCTGTAACTATTACAATCAATTAAGCCATATGAATCGCCATTATGTGTTTCCAGTCAGATCTACAACCAAAATATAAGAAACTAACAATTCACGACGTCAACCTCACATTCTGTCAGTCAGAATTAAGAAAAAAATCCATACATACACCAACATTCACACCCTCCTCCGTAGATCACTATTGAGATGAATGGAACATGAGCAAAGAAAACATTTCTGCGCTTGGAACGATATTCAGTCATTCTGGCATACACATGAATTTCATGAACATGTGTACTCAGAAAAAAAAATTTTCTATTTAAAGCCTTTCAAAACGTACTGTACGTCTTCAATCTCTGTCGGACACATGACAAAAAACAATGCTTGGTGTCATAAATATTAATGTCGATTGTATTTCTTTTTGTTCGATTCTTCCACACATTATTTGCTTCATTTCTTTCTCATATGAGTAAACAAGTAAATGAATTTGATTAACATCGATTCTGTTTTTTTTTCTCTTTGATGATCTGCCTATCGGCACTGTAGAAAGTATAAAAATAGAACTCATTTGTTGGCAAGTATTCATATTAAGTTTCTCCATGATTAGATTATTATGTATCTAACTGGTAACATAGAAAATGTTCTACACCACTCAGTGTTTTGCTTTATTAATATTTTACCGTGCATTAGACAAGTGCAATAGAGTCAAAAGGTAAAATTCACCATGGCTCGGAAACAAAAACGAATCAATGTATTGTCAACACATTTTTTTTTTCATAGCCTATATAAGTAAAGCATTTTTAGAAAAGAAATTATTCGAGTCTCAAATTTTCTTCCATATAGCATATACTACACTAGAAAAAAGTCTGTTATTACTTGATCATTAGTGGAATTTATTATCTCCGTTTTAATTTAGGACGAAAAAAAAAGAATGAAGATATTGACATTCATATGGCTTTTCTTTATGTTGATAGTTTCTTTCGATTCACTTCGAGGTGCTGCGATTGGAGATATGGATGATATTTCTGGAGTTGATCCAGTAGACTATGAAGGAACGATGACAACAACAGAACACCCAATGTGCTGTGGTTTCTGTAGTAATGGATACAATTCACACTGTGACTGCATATGTATGAATCATGTAGGTGTTTGTTGTCAGCGGATGTAATGAAAACTTTCTATTTGATATCAAAGTATAATTTAATCTCAAAAAAAATTTTCTCGCCCACAAACATTTTGTTATCTTTTTGTTTCAAATTTTTTTGTAAATAAATGAAAAAAGTTCATAATAATTGTATCTTTCATAGTTCCAAAACTTATTTGACTTGTCATCTTTGTTAGAAACTAATGTCTCTTGATTGTTTATTTTGAATCGTGCAGAAAATGTTAATGATCCCAATGAACCACTGATAAAAATTAAACAGATTTATTCGTTGGTGCTTCATCATGCAAAACAATTTTTCGGTTCCAAATGATTACATTATTTGTCCACTGTGACATTCGGACTAATGTTTTCTCTATCCCATAGAACAGTTATAAGATATGACAACTAAACGATAAAATCCGTAAAACTATTCGAACATTATTGGCAAAATGGTATTTCTATTTTTTCTTCATTATTTAATGAATTATAAAAAAGAAAATTGACAATATTTCGAAAATCTTAAAATTTAATCTTTCTGTCTTATGCATAACTTTAATTGAAGTCTAGTTTGTCTTAGCACAAGCTCCGATCAACTAAAAAAAATCTTTAAACTAACGCCTTATGAGTAGTATTTTTTATTCATGTAAAGAAAAAAAAACAAAGTCTATTGAAAATGACAATCACTATGGTTGAGAAACTTTTCACGTGATTCATTTTTTACACATTGAATGTTACATGATGATTCTTTTTCAAATTTGTAATTCAATTTTTCAATGAGATGACTATTCGAACTAATTTCAGATTGAAAGATCTCTTTTGTTTTTGTTCTTAACATATCTACTAAAAATATCACAATATTTTAGAATTTCGAAAAAAAGATTCGAAACTTGAAAGTACTAAAAGATCAATCATGGAACATCTTGAAAAATAAAGATGAAAATGGCATTGATTATGACAATGAGCTTAATGTTGTCAATTACACCTCGAATCCTAAGCATTTATTTTAGAACCTAAAAAATTTGATTACATAATAAAAAAAATTCTTGTAAAACTAATACGAAATTCATGAATATGACTGGTAGACTACTCATGCAATCGTTTATTTACATATTCCATATTAGATTTTTGTATCCTATCTCTTAATATTTGTTTGATTGTGAAAATTTAAATAAGAGACAGTTGATGTTATTTACACATACTCTTTTCGGTTCCAAACAAAGTCCTTAGTATTCTATTTTTTAAGTTGTATATGCCTATGTCGACATCGGGCACGATTTTATTCATTATGCGTTCTCTTTGAATAGTTCTCACATCATTTAAATCATTCATCTTGTTTGAGGTCTATCCAAGGTAAATGCAAGTAAAGGGTGTGGGTGGGTGTGGGTGTGGGTGTGGGTGTGTGGGTGTGAGTATGGTGTGTGGATGCAGGTCTTCTTCCTAACTACACGCACACACACACCAACACCCACACCCCACACCAACACCCACATCCCACACCCACATCCTAGCCAATTGGTATCTTTTATATCAAACAATGTTTACTTTTGTCAAATCACTTGATAGGTGTTTATATTTATTTTTGAATATTAAAAAGAAATATGATGAGCAAAATAATAAAAAATGTTACAACCAATGTTTATACTTAAAAAATGAAAGCATGAGTATTACCAACATACCCATGCAACCAAGTACAATAAAATAACCATTTTTATAACGAACTTCAGGCATATTTTCAAAGTTCTAAAAAAAAAACAAATTTGATGGAAGCCAAAAAAAAGAAAAGCAACAATAAATTAATTTACCATGCCATAAACTCCAACAATAAATGTTAATGGAATAAAAATGCTTGTTACAATTGTTAATGTTTTAACTATTTCATTCATATGATTTGAATTTAAGACCATATAAAAATCAATAAATGATGATAACATTTCTCTATATGTATCAATAGAATCATTAGCTTGTACAATATGATCAAATAAATCTTTTAAATAAATATTTGTACTTTCTTGCATAATTTGTGTTTCTTCTTCTTTTTGTAATTTAATAATTATTTCTTTGAATGGAGATATTATTGAACGTAAAGAAAGAATATCACGTTTTAAATCATATATAGATTCTAATGTATCACGTTTAAGTGTTTTCATCAATTGATTATCAATTGATGCAACTGATGTATCCATCATATGAAGAACATCCATATAATGGTCACCAATAACATCAAGAAGCGAATAAAAGAGATAATCAATTTTAGATTTTCTTATACGACCTTTTCCTTGTCGAATACGATCTTGAAAAAGATACAAACAAGAAGTAATTATAAATGAATTCATAAGTGGAGAAAACTTGAGAACAGAAGCAAATAGAAACCTGTAGTTTTCACTATTGAAAAGAGCGATGTCACGTGTGTCAATCAGGTGTGTATTGATATTTTGTTCTTTGTGAATTTTCATCATTTTTCCGACGAACTTCAACAAAAATTTTATCAAAATAGATCCCAAAACACCATATATTCATAGTGAAATTTCTATGATTTTTTACTAACTTCTCAACATTTATCTCCGATGAAGTTACCGCGATAAATTTAATCATAAATACATGGTGTTTTGGGTTCTATTTTGATAAAATTTTTGTTGAAATTCGTCGGAGAAATGATGAAAATTCATAAAGAACTAAATATCAATGCACACCTGATCGACATTCGTGACATTGCTCTTTCCAATGGTGTAAACCACAGGTCTCTATCTGCTTCCGTTCTCGAGTTTTCTTCATTTATTTAGATAGAGGATCAGAAAAATATACTTTTTTACCCTTTAATTGATTAAATCAGAATATTTACTTCAAAATGAAAATATTGTATCTGAATCAAGTTTGAATAAAAGAAAGGACGGTTTGATGATACTAAATTCATGATCTAAACTTAGTGAAATTTTGCAAACCAAACCTTTCTACTCAACTATTAAAGAAAATAAATTAATGAATGTAAAAAAAAAATTTTTTTGACAAAAATTAGCTGAATTTATTAAAATATTCATACTTTTTATTGAATCAAATAAATCTTTGGATGTTTCTTGAAATGTTATAAGAATATCATGTTTTAAATAAAAACTCATTTGTTGAATAATTATTTGACCTGTACAATCCATATCATGATAAATTAATTTGCATACAACAAATAAAGCATCATCCAATACATCTAATTTTGTTCGTTGTTCAGTTGTTGTTATATCTGTTTGAACTAGTGAATGAATATCATAACGTTCACCTATTCCAGATATAACATCTGGATCATGAATGCCATCGATGTCAATCCCTGACAAAAAAAATACATGTTTATTTATTCTGATATATGAATATAAGTACATACATGTCATTGAGTTTACTGTTTCCGATGGTGTCTGTAGAAATTCTTCAATAGTTTTACATTTTATTTCCGTACACGAATTTTCATCATACTTAATAACGTTCAAATGAACTGGTGCTCTAAAAATGTAAATGATCAACAATAGTTAAGTCAGTTTTCGATCTAGGATTTTTGAAGGGAAAGTACAATTGTAGGCAAAAAGTGTAATTTCAGATTGTACCAACTTATTTTGTCGCTCTTTTTTCCTGAAAAAATACCGAAAAACTTTTCATGAAGGGAGAAAGGCGTCGAAGCGATCGCATCCCCGCTCCTGAATAAAATCTATTCGATGAGAGTTATTAACAATAGTTCAGGGAAAACGACTAGTTTAACTTCTGATTCTCCGTTGAACTTACTATAACAGTGATATTCATTTAAAACTTACGCTGGATCAGAAAGATGTAAAAATTTCTGAGATAAAAACGTACCAAATCCAAATTGTGTTACACGTCCACGAATTGTTGTTCTTCTACCAATTAGCATATAATTTTCTCTTTCAATGCGGGACTTAATGCGTCTTACTGGTAAAATTTTGTTTCTACGTTGTGTAGAACTGTTCATTATAATTATTATCGAATCAGATATTGGCGAACTATGCCAAATAAATTCTTATGAACGAAAGAAAAATCACCAATTACTAATTTATATTGAAATATTTTGTTCTTGTTTCTTTTTTCTTTTGCAAAATGGGATCGACGTGTTTATCAAAATATTATTTTAAATAACTTATGTCGATAATCATAACTTTCATCCATTGATACGATTAATACCTTTTAGGTGTAATAATAAAATAAATATTTTTTTTTCTTTCTTTTTCTGGCTTCGGTTTTTTTACTGTTGGTAAAATAAGCAGGTAATCGATAAAGAAAACCAACATGCTTTTTTTATCAATCGTATGAAACCAATGAATGCATTGAAAGCAATAAAAAAAGAACAAAAATGAAGCATATAAAAAAATAAATTTTACTTTAATTATCGATCATGTCTGTGGCCTATGACGAATAGACATTAATATTCTTACGCAATATTCTATAACTCAATCATGTGATATGCTCTGTAAGAGTATTAAGTATATGTAAATTGTGATAGGAACCAATCAAATATGTAAATCATTATCGGAGACTATGACTATAGAATTAATTCATGAAGAATATTTCCTTAAATAAATAAAATATTGAATACTTGATAAGTTTTTCTGCCTTTTTAATAGATATCAGTTTGTTGCACAATAAATTGTGAACGTAATAAAAATTCTCCATATTTCATTCTGAACAGAATAAATTTTCAATGAATTCATGTTTTATTGTGTACTCAAAAAGTGAGTACACTCTAGAATCGATCTGGGTATGGGTGTTCCTTGTCTTTTTAACCATACCCACACCCACGTCAGGCAGAACATTCATAGAGATATTGAAAGTTTGTATTTTGAGCTGAAATTCTGTCCATAAAGAGATTTAGTAAATATTTCAATGGACATAAATGCTTTATTCTTGAAATACCGAATTTTCAAAATCGGTTTCATCTTCTGGCTTCTCTGTAATGCATGATTGATTTTTAGACATCCAATATCTTGAGAAAAAAGTATCCATTTCAGCTAAAATTTTTCCCACATTCTAATAGTACAAGAATATGAATCTCAAAAGATTTCTGATTCTTTTTCTGATCGAAAACTTAGAAAAAAACTAGAAAGATTAATAAAACTCTGACATACCTTGTCTCAGAAACAGAGTATACTTAACAGTGAATAACTTTAGTTGATCGATAATTCCGTCTATTTCTGAAGCTTGGAAAAGCTATTTTTCACCCTTATTATGTGATAATGTATCTCGAAACATAAATTAATAGGTGAAATAATGGATCTACCGACGTTATGGATACTTAGGTATGCTCTTTCCAACGCACTTTATGCCAATTTTTTATGAGTCTTTCTATTTTCTCAAAAATTTTGTGTTGAAAAGAGCACCAGAATTTTTTTTTGATAGCCATATTCTTGTAAAGCTTGTCAAATTCTATCAAACCATATAAAAATATCTAATAAACACAAACAAAAACTAATAGTTCGATCAGCCTTAATAAGTCAAACATTCCAAAAATATTTTTGATTTTGCAAAAAATGTAAGATAGACAATGCTTACTCATGAGTAATAAAACGACCATAACTTTTCATAGGTCCAACCTAATTCAAACAATTTTTTTGCAGATGATAGCTCTAATCAGGCTCTACAAACGGGTGTGGGTGTCGTTCTTTTCTTAACACACACCCACGCCCACACCCTCTTTGGTATCCATGTGTAAATTACTATGATATGGCTATTTTAAATGATGTCATAGCCTGTTTTCTTTGGGCAAACAAATTTATAGCTTTTTATGAACTTATAATGCATGATTTTATACCTGTTTGTTTTGTTGCCATATTGAGTATTTGTCTTTTTGTATGAGTACTCTTGCAAAAACAGCACATGGGTCGACAAATGACTTGGAAGAAAAATCGAAAGATGATCATACAACTACTGGGAATATCTACTAGATTTCTTGTTTGCAATATAGGTTCCTTTGTTTTGACAATTGGACAAATAGTTTTCGATCCGAATTTCAGCGCTGATCTTATGATGCGGTTCTTGTCAGCCAATTTGTGCGCAATGCAACTAGTGTTCCCATTTCTTTGTCTGAGCGGTATCCCGAATATACGACAAAAAATTGAAGCGCTAAATTCCTGATGTCAGCGCGTGATCGTTGGACCGATAGTTCGTCGGGCATGAAGAGCTGCTTCTCTCAGAAAGAATGCGAAATTCATTTCTCAGCAAACTTGTTAAAGCACATTTTTGACTAAAAATTTTCTACGTTGTTACCTCTTTGATTTACTTATTGCATCATGCGTAATCATATTTTAATTCAAATGTTACTTTTTCTGTTGTACATATTATCGTCCATGATTAGTAAATAGATATGTCAAATCAGAGAAGCCTTAGTAAAAGATAAATCAGATGACGTAATTTTCAACCAGAGAATTGTTTTCAAAATGATTATAAATGTGAATAACAATTTAGCATTGTGATTCATCATCGCAATTGAGTCGTATAATGAAATTTTAATGGAAAGAAGACAACTCTGAATAGATTGTTTTAATCAAATATAGAAGTTTGGAATTATTTTGTAATTCATTGCCATCATTAACTTTAACCAGTTTGACTGAAAAAAAACACGAAACAATCGATAATAATGCGATTCCATTGACTACATCTCAAAGTCTAATGTTTTTTTCATTACTCTAACCAAAAAGAACTACTCGTTTGATTGCTTTTTTTATAGTCATTTTAGCCACCATTAAATGTATATTTCGAAACAATGATAAGGTGCGCTATTGCTCGTATAACATTTTAAGAAAATAAATCGGACAGATTTGCTCTCATTCCACAAGAACGATGCTTTCTGTATTACTACTGCTCGTATTCATTGGCACAAGCACAGGTTGTTCTTGTATACAGCGACAAACACTAACTGAGGAGTTTGCATAAACACCAATTATCTTTATTGGACGTGTTATCTTCGTGACCATGAATCGAACAAATCCCTATACTGGCGTTGTTGGACTTACATGGTTTATTGACGAAGCATTTAAAGTAAGAGCATCATGATTCTCAGTGATCGATTTTGTGTATACTTTCGAATTTTTTTTCTCAAGGTGTTAGACCTAGTTCAATATTAACTCTTCGTACTGAGTTACAATCGTCCATGTGTGGTGTTGGTTTGATATCATTTGGTGCACGCTGGCAAATTTGGGTCAGTTACAGCAATTGGATAGATAACTGTTCACGAAGCACCGGAAAGGCTGACACAGACCTTGAAGTGCTTCGCTTACTGGCCCAACTTGATTCATGTATAAAACGAAAACCATGATCTTTTTTTTTAAAAGAGTTTTTGCAAAACTGTTTTGACATAGTTTTCTTTTAGACAGGATAAGAAATACATTTTTTATGATGAAAAATCGTTTTTGGAAACAAATGTGAAAAACTACAATAGTTTCACAACATTTTCTTGTCGATTAGACGGGAAATATGTTGCACGTTGTTCGTCAGTAATTCCATTGATCGTTATATCAAATGCTTGACCTGATTCATGTCTAGACATACCTGGAGGAGCTACTGCTTGTCCCGATTTCAAACCATGTTTGTTCATTTCTTTAGTTACTTTCTCTCTCAGCTTTTTACATCCTGGCCAAGACTGTAACAAATCTTCAGTTAATACTTTGTCTGCATTAATAATTTCATTTAAATGACGTTGATATTCGCGAGGTCTCCAAGCCGATGTTAAATATGTTGTAGCTTTTAGAGCAGCTACACCATCTTGTACACATTTTAACTTCTATTGATATTCTGCTGTTAATAAATCCGGTCTAATTCTATCACCATTTTCAAAACGAATTACTTCTGGATTAATAAGAGGAGTTAATAGAGTCATGGTACATGTACTAGTACATAATGGTGTTGTCATTGTGTATTTTTCAGCAAAAGTAATCTTTACGTCAAAGTCACCTCGTACTGAATATATCATAGGACAAGGGTGAACCGTAGAATCTGGCTCGATAATAAAACGCCATGCTTTTTTTCCAACTACCGTCAATACTCCACGTACATACTGATACTCTCTGGTTTCACATGCACACGCATTTGGAGATTCAAGTGAACAACTAGTTATAGGATCATTTACCACATTACATGCTTGAGTGAGCAAATTCACTCGGTTTCCACTCACTCCTATTAAAGGATAACTTGTTCTGAACATAGAATCAGTATATGGTTCGTATTTAAGCAAACGAGCTGGACAAGGATATGTAGCCAATACATCTTCTCATTGACAATGTTCCAATAAAAAAGTTAAAGAAATAATAAAATGGTATAAATTGATAAATGAGTTTTTATTTGTGTAGAAAATATTTTCACCAATTGACAACATGATTGAAAATTGATAAACTAAAAAGACAATATCAGTAAAAACAAATTCTTATTGAAAAAAAATTAAAAAAATAGTGATCAATAATTTACTATGAATTCTGTTCCTAGTAAGTAAATCAGCAGGTGTCTGCACTTTTTTATTTAATCTATCTCTAAGAGATTCTTTGTCTTGACCATTTATTCAACAAAACTTTTTTAAAACTATCTTATCCCCATTCCTATCTTTTGGTATTTACTATTTTGATATAGTTTATAGTGTATTACTTCAAGTATATGCCGCTATTAATGTTTTGTTAGAGTTTATCGAGGTGCATCATCATTCTAATTTATTTCTCGAAGGTACATTAAATTCGAATTAAATTTTCGACCGATTCAGTTCCTTAAAGCTCTGCATAAAATTTTCTTGTGAAGATAAGGCCAAAAACTGGAGTCAAAATAAAGAATAAAGCCTGGTAGTTCTTTTTAGACAATGGAAAGTTGAGATTATCCTGGTATTATTTCATAATATATAAGGGTGAGGCAAGAATAAAAATAAAAGACAGAACGTCTGGGGTGGTGGGTGTGGGTGGGTGAGGGTTTGGGTGTGAGTGTGGGGTGTGGGTATGGGTGTGAGTGTGGTATGTGGATGCGGGTCTTCTTCCTAACTACACGCACACCCACACCAACACCCACACCCTTTCTTTTTTGTCTTCTCTCGCCTATAAGTCACTATTCATGTTATTATTGACGATCAATGATAACATTTCATAATTAATCTATATATCAGTTAAGCTTTATCCATACACATACATTGAGATAGTTGTAATTGAATATATTTCAATGTACGCGTGTCCTGATTAAAGCTTAATTGAAATCGACTTCTAATTATATTTCGACAACAAAAAAAAAAGATTTTTGGGCGTATATATACGAATGACTTTCTATGTAAAATTATTTAAATTTTTGAATCAAATAATAATCATTTTTCTTTTTCTGTTTTAGATTGGCTTCAACCAAACAATATGAAACAATTCAACAACAAACCACATAATAAAATGAAATGTAGGTATCAGTTTTACTTTTTTTTATTTTTTTTATTTTACGATCATAAGGATGGTAGTGTAAGGCCTTCTTTGATCTTTTTATTATATTTTTATTTTATTTTAGAGAATAAACAATGAAGAAAAAGATAATATTAGGGTAAGTCATCTCATTCTATTTCATTAAATAACATTGATTAAATTTCTTTTTCTGTTCCTTTCAGCTATCAATGTCATCAACATCAGACACGGTTAGTAATTCTTTTTTTTTGAGATGAGAATAGGTAGTGAGATTGAGAGGTTAGGGTGAGACTAAGAAAAGTGAGTGTTAGTGAGAGACGAGGGTGATTTCTGTTCGTTGAGGGTTAGGGTTTCGTCTCTTATGAAAGACTTCCGGGTAGTCCCTAAAAGCTCGGTCAGGAACTGTCTTGGTGTCCGTGGCACACGACCAGGCTTATTCAGACTCATTGACATATCTCTCACCGGGAGGGTATGAATGATATGAGTCTGTCCTGCGCGTGCATGAGCGTTACGCTCGCCACGGCTCCACCAGGATGGTTCCTGGTCGCGCGCGCGAATAGAATAAGCCATTCATTTCATCAATTCAATACGATTTATTTGAAACGAAAGGAACGCAAAAAATAATCCATCGTAATGAGTCTATTTGATTGAAAATCGTTGAACACGATGATTATTCCTATCGACGACATAGAGATTGCCATGTCGATCGAAGGACAAACCAGCGGGACGGTTGAACTGATTTGCTCCTTCTCCTTTACCATTTCCACCCACAATGACAGTGCCCTGTTTCGCTCCTTTAGCCCAACGGATCACTCGATGATTCAACGAGTCTGCCACATATATGGTACCCAATGTATCGACGAATAGTCCTAGAGGATCTGATAATTGTGTCAGAGCACTCCCTTTGCCTTGACTCCCAGCAACGACAATTCCTTCTTTTGCACCTTTACCCCATTTCATCACACGATTATTGCTGCTGTCGGATACGTAGACAGTCTGTTGTTGATCGACAAAGATGTAGGTCGGAAAGTTGAGTTGATTGAGATCAGCACCTTTGCCATTGCCACCAGCCACAAGAGTTGCATTCTTGTCTCCTATTTGATATCGTCTTACTTCATTTTTGTCGGTGTCAGAGATGTAGAGATATCTCTGATCATCCATGGCCAATCCCCAACACTTGATGTTGTCGATGAGAATTTCTCCTTGAGTTGTACCACTACGACGAGACCATCGTACGACTCGTCGATTTCCTTGGTCACAAATAATGAGACTATCCGTCTCTTTGTCAATCAACACATCGGTTGGATATTTCAATTGATCCAATCGATTTCCTAGGCCATTGCCACCAGCTACTACTCGTCCATTCGTATCACCCATCTTCCATTGGATGATACGATGATTGTTGTAGTCAGCGATGACCATCGTTTGATCATCATCAACGAAGAGACCAAAAGGACAGTCGAGTTGATTGGTGGCACTGCCTTTTCCATGGCCTCCAGCGACAGTCGTCGCATTCTGTGCCCATCGGGCACCGACTGGAATATTGGGAATTACTACAATGAAGGAAAAAGAAAAGAAATCATCGTTGTTGAAGGGATCCCGCCTCTCGTGGGAGCAAGCGCTACAAATATGTCATTCATCTTTGAGAATGCTCATTCCACAGATAAAAATTCAGAAATCTTTTGCTAGTTTCTTATGAGAAAAAAAGGATTTGGTAAGGATTCTTACATCTATGTTACTTATAGTTTTTGCCAAGATCTTCTTGATCATAAAAATAACACCTGAAGATTGTTGTAAGAAGGCCCTCAAAGAAAGAGTAATACTAATTCCATGTAAGTTTTTGATACAAAAACATAAGGATCTGAGGATTTTATTCAGAATCTTTTTGGCAGAATGATCATTTATATGAACATTAGAGAAGATTCTATCTGCATCTTGTGAGAAGAATATCGAATCGTAGAACAACAAAATATCAAACCTAATCCCTATGTTTTTTAGGAAACCTTAAGGATACATGATTTTTCTGTATGATGAATGTAGATCTGCCGAAGAATCTCCTAAGTATTTGCATAGGCTTTTGATAAGTTATGTGAAGCTGTTCGAAGAACAACCGTGATGTACTCTGAGTAAGATCATGAGCAGGTTTGGATACAGGCGAAACTGAACAAAGTTGAGAGGATTCCATGCGAATCTATGTAATCTGAGAGGGCTTCTACTTTTGGAAATACTGTAAAGATGGATGTCAATCCGAACGGAGTTCTCCAGTGACAAACATTGGGATCTATGGATTTTATGGGCTTTGAAAATCTAAAAATAATGAGTATCTTCTATGAGGATCATGCTATAATCCTTATGTAGTACTTGTTCTGAGAAGTCTTCTGTAAGTTCGCATGTTATGGATATGTTTAGGAGGATCTGAAGAGTAAGTATTTTGAAATGGTTGATATCAGAGATGGGCAATTCCAGCACCAAAGTTGATGCTTTTTCTCATCAGAGTGAAAATGGAGTACGAACAGGACAGAATGGATGTGCCTATCTCTGAATTTTATGAAAACGTTTATAAAACAATAAATTAATATGCTACTAATTTATATCAATCGTAGATTTAATTATGTTCAAAAACTTATGTGTATTTAAGAGTGTTTTGGTAGAAGTTCAGTTTTGTAAAATCTGACTCGAATTGAAGTTAAATTGGAGTTGGAGAAAGGCAGAGTGTAGTTGCTCATCTCTGTTTAGTACACAAATATCGATCCTAATCAATAGCCAGGACAACATCTCTGGAATATTTGACTATAAATGAGACAGTATTTCTGTAACGTAGTCTTTAAAAAAACAGCACATCGTAAGGAAATGCTTTCGATGTCGTGGAAGAGAAAACTGCTTAACATGAAATTCTAAGGAGATTTCCATGTTCTAGTTTAGTATTAGAATCTGAGAAGGAGATCTTACGATTCTTATTGTGATATAACATCTTTCAAGTAACAATGCTGTAGTTCTAGACTTATCAGAAAGTAAAAGCTCTCTCTCTCTCTCTCCTTTACTTCGATTCAATCAAAACTCGACAAGGAGGGAATAGTTTTTCAGAGTGACTTACAATATATAAAAATTATAGTACTTTTTTTGTAGAGCTTGAAATATTATTGTATTTCGTATAGACAAGCCTTAGTTTTGAATTTTCTCTGTTTGGATAAAAATTGAAGGAAAACGAATATCATTCGCCTTTTAGTCTGACTTTTTGTAAATTGTCTTTCAAATAATTTATAAACAGCTCATCTATTTTCTCTGAAATTTTTTAATATATAGATATATTTCTTGGTGTTGCATAATCATTTAAATATGGTCCAAAATATGTAGTGTTTTACGGCTAGCGCGCAGCCAAGCAGACAGATATGCGGAATTTTGACGTTTTTTTGAACAAAAGTATCGACTTTTAGTCGATTTTGTATGTTTTTTCTACTTTTTTTTTATGCACAAAACTGACTGAAATGTTATTTCTAAC